ACCATTTCTCCGTTACTCAATTCACAGTTATCAAAGTTGTGCTATTATAAATAATAACATTGAAATACATGATTTTTGCACATAAATTCTTTTCCAACCCTTGATAGACCACTCAGTCTATAAAATCTTTGAAAGTTCATGATGCATACAGCCAAGGTCCTCCCAACTCTAGGAGCTAGTGTCACATAACTACATCTACAACATGTAATGTTATCCTTCAATCCTGGTAATTTGATAGATAAATCATAGGCATTATTTTAATTTGCATTGCTTTGATTTCTACTAAAACTATATTTTCAATTTATGATTCATTATCTTTAAAAGAGTTGATGATAATCTCTCTCATATTTACCTGACAGATTTAAGTGGTTTAGTTAATCTTTCCTACTTAAGTCTTTGTGATATCATGTGCCTTTCCAGCAAAGTCATTTTTTGCACTAATATGTATTATTCGTTGCTTAATGTCTTTCTCACTGAACTGTACTGCTATATACTTTAAAGCATGAACCATGACAGGTTTGTTCAACCCAAGTATGTCTGCACTTTATGGGTTCTCCTTAAGAAAATAAATAGAACCTGTACAGACAGCAATTACTGTGGCTAGTTAGAATCATTAGTGACATCCTGGTAAGGAATAAAACAGAACATAGAGAAAGCATTGTGAGAACCACTGCAGTTACATGTTTGCAAAGACATCTCACCCTGTGAAGATACCTATGACTTTTCCAAGAGTCTTGGATAAGGTTCATGCAGATGAGGGGACACCGAATCTTATGCCTTAGCTCTTTCACGATAAACCCATGTCAACAGTCACTATCACAGGCCCACTGCAAAGCTCAGTGCCTGGCACATTTTCAAATCTTGGAAACTTGGAGAGTACCTATTGGGTTAGCATGTTCAGGGATGTTCTTGCTGAAGTGGTGACACTGAGTTTCACAACCAAAGGACAAAGGCAAAGACAGGAGAAGCTTAATCTCATAGAAAAAATAACACTATAGAAAGGCACAAATCTAGGATGAGCTCGGTGACTTGAAGGGATTAATAAGAGATGAGGAAATAATGAAATAGAAGAGGAAGACAAGCAAGACCAGGCACATTCTTACAGGAAATTTAGGGATCATGGATTTTCCAAGTAAGCTTTTGGGTGATGCGAAGCCAGGAGTGAAAGAACATGACATGCAGCTTATACATTCGAGTCCAGCTGATTCCTTCAGAGGTAGACAGGTAAGAATGTGGACAAACCCATAGATACTGCAATTAGTCCAGTTGGAAATGACGACACCTGGGGGTCAGCCGCCGAGATTTACATGATTATTTAACATGATTGTTAAATTGTTAATAAACATGATTGTTTATTGTTTATTTAACACCAACCTATACCATGTGCATATGCACACAACTTGTGCTTGGAACACAATGGAGCATGTCATTCATGTATTTGGGAAGTACTGATACATATGAGTGAACCTCAAAAACTATTATGCTAACTGAAAGAATTTTGTCTCAAAAGGTTATACATTGTCTCATTCTGATAATAGGAATATTCACAGCATACAGATCTATAGAAGAACCAAAGATTAGTTGTTGTCTAGAGATGAAGGTGAAAATGGGGAATGACTGCAGAAGACACAGGGATATTTTGAGGGTAGGGCAGAGCTGGTGATGGAAAGGCTGTAAAATTAGACTGTAGTGATGATTTCACAACTCCGTGTATTTACTAAGATTCACTGAACTGTACCTTTACATCAAGTGAATTTAATGACATATAAATTATACCATAGTAAAGCCGTGCAAAGAAAAGAAGTTAATTGCATGAGCTCGGGGCTGAATGTCTAAAGGTGGAGTTTTCAGCATGAAATGGTCTGTCAGACAGGATTCAGTCAGGAAAATGGGAACTCATTTGGAAAGTCAAACAGAGGGACTCTAGTAAGCTACGAAGGTGAGAGATCTTGGAGAAAAGGTCCCTACCCCCGGTATGGGAGGGTGTCTAATGGGGTGGATTCTGAAGGACTAAAGTTATCTGAGGTTTAGATTTGGATTGAGCTGCTGCAGTGGTGTGTGGAACAGCCAAAGCTCTTTTTCTCATCTTCTAGTATTTTCTCTCTGGATGGCACCTGAGAGGCATCTAATAGAGGAGTCTGAGAACCCTAAATTTTGTCAAGTTCTAGTCCCATCCTGCAATTTTGCAGCTGAGAGACAGTAGGTAAGTATTCTTCAAATATGTTATTAAAGGGCAAGATACTCAAAAACTCAAAATATCAACATCAGATAGAAAGGCAGGCCTAGAAAATTATATTCTTAGGAGGACAAATAAGCCTCATGTACATAGTTTCATTCAACTCAAGAAGGGAGTGAATGAAAGTTGAGTCCAGTGGCCCTGAGAACCAAGTTAGATAGGAGAAACAGGAAAACAAGATTTGACCACCTGCAAAGTATCGACAGTATGACTAAAGGCAATCTTAGTAGAATGTTAGGAAATCAATAAATACTGGAGTGGATTAAAGAACAATTGTAGTGAGAGATGTGCACTTTAGAATTAAGTTTGGATAGCAAGGGATATCATTAGGCTTTGATGAAGAAAGAGCTTTCTGTATATTTAGAAGTATATAGGAACTCATGCAGTTTCTTGCTTTGTATTGATGTAATGTTGTTTGGTCACTCAGTCACATCTGACTCTGCAGCCCCATGGACTGTAGCCCACCAGACTCCTCTGTCCATTGGATTTTTCGGCAAGAAAACTGGAGTGGGAAGCCCTTTCCTTCTCCAGGGAATCTTCCCAGCCTGGGGATCAAACCCACATGTCCTGCATTGGCAGGCAGATTCTTTACTGCTGAGCTGCCCCGGGAAGCATTGACCTAAAAATAATGGCTAATGTTTGTTGAGGGCTTTCTACATGCCAGATATCATACCATTTTCCCTTGAATCTCACCAGGACCCCGTGGGTGAGATACAGCCATCCCCGCTTCACAGATGAGATAACGAAGGCGCAGAGAATGTGAGGGATGATTAGCCTTTGAGATTAAAGATGTTGCTTCTCTGAAGAAACAGAATGGGAAACAAATTGGATCCAGGGTGGGTATGGAGCAAGAGGGAATTTAAATTTCCATTTATGGAACTGCTATTTCTTTGAGACAGTGTTTTAACCCTGGTTTCCTCATAGCACCCTCACATGAACCTTGAACATTCCAATTTTGGCAACTCTGCTGACAAAATTCCTGCTCTCACCAGCATGAACTGGAGTTACTTTCTCAGACTGTCTCAATTCATTTCCCGCACAAAACCGTGGACAGCCAGACTCACAGGGACCCCTGACCCACACCCAATACTGACTCTACTGTCTCCCTATTATCATCAGTATGCCATCCTGAATTCTTTTTTCCCCTTGAAGATACTAGATCATTATTCCTCCAAACAATAAGAACTTTTTGTTGGAATGAGTAGACATTAAAGGTAAACCTAATGTAAAAAATATCATATTGTTTTGCTAGAATGACCTGTATCTATCATTTATTTTATAGATACAATGACTATATTTTCAGGATAAAATTGGCATACGCCATTAACAAATAGCAGTACAAGTGAAGGGATAATGGGCATGGTTGAGATTGCGTGGTTTTCTTATATTTATAGCTGCATCTACAACTAAAGTGGGCTTCCCTGGTGGCTCAGCAGTAAAGAATCTGCTTGTAAGTTAGGAGTTGCAGGAGACGTGGGTTCGATCCCTGGGCTGGGAAGATCCCCTGGAGGAGTTCATGGCAACCCCGTCCAGTATACTTGCCTGGAGAATCCCATGGACAGAGGAGCCTGGTGGGCTACAGTCCACAGGGCCACACAGAGTCGTACATAACTTTAGTGACTTAGCAGGTGCAATTAAAGTAGAACAAAAGCTTTTCTTCTAGAATATGAATATAAATGTTGTATAATTATTTCAATCTTTGTATATACCAAAGTACAATTCTCATATCCAAAATGTACTGTACTAGTGAAATATTTTTCTGCCCACTGCCTTATTAATTCTAAATATTTTAATTTTATTTATTTATTCCTTGCCTCTTTTGAAAATACATTTGAACTCACTTTTTAACAAGAAGCTAAAAATAAAAAATCAGGACAAAGAGAAACATGAAAAATGCAAATAACCCCCCTAAAAGTATTATTTACTTTCAGAGACTGAGTTTAACATTTGAGTCTGAGCCTCTTTGGATTCTAGGCAGTAAGGAAAACATGACGTATATTAGAGACTGACTTTCCTTATATATTAAATGTGGAAAAGGAAGGCAATCAAATGAACTTTTATTTTTTTTCTAAATATGGAAATCCATCTCTTTGGTAAGACACCGTTTTCACTTAACCTAGACCAACATTAACTTACTGTAAATATTTGCATGGGAACTGTTCATTGATTCTGTGAATGATCTTACTCTGTATTAAGGGGCCTGACCACGATGATGATGAAGAGACAATAAATGATGATGCAGAGACAATACAATAAGTAGGTGTATAATTTTCCCCCTAGAAAATTCATACCATATTGTGTATTGATTGATTTCAACTTCCTCCTTTAAAATGGAGATTTCCAGAATATTGTGGAAGATGCTGCAGAGTGTTTTGGGAGAAAAAAAAAATAAGGCTCTGAATATTTCATTTGAAAAGTGTCTGCTGAAGTTCCTGCTCCAGTGGGATTGACACTCTCTCTGGGGAAAAGGGCAGATGGCAGTTGCTAAGTAAAAAACAAAAAACAAAAAACAAAAAAAAACAAACATACAAGCCAAGCGATCACTGGCAGCTATTCAGAACAGGAACTTTGAGGCACATGTAATAATTCAGGTGATTAAAAAGCACGGCACCTTCATCAGCCAAGAGATCATGTGCTCTTGAAGAAGTTGGAAGAGAGAGAATGCCGTCAGATGAGGATCCTATCAGTGAGGCTACAGAGCATTCAGAGCCCTGATTCAAGCCCCGGAACAGCCTGAGACTCCCGTTGTGCACGTCACAATATCCCGTTAGCAGAACTCTGTGATAGTAATCCTCTCCTCCACCGCCATGGACAGAAAACTCATCCTTTACGACACAGAACTCACATGGAAATAACGTGAACAAGAGACCTGACTGATCAAGAATATGATCATTTGAAGACGATTTTTTTCAAATGACAGCAAGGGCAGAGTAATTCATCCACAAAGCAGAGAGTCTCTGTTACCCACAGAACCTCCTGGATTCAATCCCACTGTCCGTTCCTTCCTGGGCACCTAAGCTAGCTATTGTGTTTCTCAGTGAGTTTATGTCTCTATTTTTAAAACAGACCTCAGACTAGAAACTCGTCTCACAGAGCTTTTAAAAAAATATTTCACTTTATTTTTTTATTGGAGTATAGTTTATTTATAATGTTGTGTTAGTTTCAGATGTACATCAAAGTGAATCAGTTATATATATACATACATATATACATATATGTATATCCATTAAGTCATGTGCAATTCTTAGTGATCTGTAGCCCTGCCAGGCTCCTCTGTTCTCCACTCATTCCTGTAGTTTGCTCAGATTGATGTCCATTGAGTCAGCAATGCTATCTAATCATCTCATCCTCTGACACCCTTTTCTCCTTTTGCCTTCAATCTTTATATACAGTAATATGTATAGGTTAGTCCCCTTAGGGCTTTTGGAGGTTTAAATGGGTGATGGATATGAACACTTAGAATGGCGTCTGGCAAAGTAAGCTTTCCATTAATGACAGTAACATCATACTACAGATAGGATTCATAAATGCAGAAAGCTGTCCCTAACTAGTGGAAATATGTACATATTCAAGGGGTAAGAATGTACATCTAATAGGATTTCTGCCATATCAAGTCCTAGGGGGACAGGAAAGCTCTAATTTTGCAAGGTTCTGTCTTGTTCAGGTTTGATTAATTAGTTGATGTCATAGCCTGGCCTTTTATCTCTTCTTATGAGAGAAGAGAGAAGCTACTTTCTCTCTATCTTTTATGAGAGAAGAGACAACCTACTTTCCTGCTGCTTCTTAAAAATATCTAAGAATAATAGAACTTATTTGTAGTCTAAGATGTAGGTGGCATTTGTAGTGCAGGGGTAGGGAACTAAATAACCCAGACAGTTGTTAGAAAGATATATAGGGCTCAGCTTCATTTAATTTTCTAAATCATCAAGTGCCTTCCTGCTATAGATTAGTTTGTTTGCTCTTGTAATTTCCACTTATTAGTGTGAAGAGGGTGTCATTAGTGGAAAGGATGATTTATGATGATAATAGGCAAAGTAATTAATATGCATACATAATATAAAGTAAGTATTTGAGGCATTCTGACTGTCTCAATCAACCTTAAGGAAAGAAAGCCTAATCAGCCTTGTCCGTGACTTTGATTATAACCAAATGATAAACCTAGACAGCATATTAAAAAGCAGAGACATCACTTTGCCAACAAAGGTCCATCTAGCCAAAGCTATGGTTTTTCCAGTAGTCATGTATGGATGTGAGAGTTGGACTATAAAGAAATCTGAGTGCCAAAAATTTGATGCTTTTGGACTCTGGTGTTGGAGAAGACTCGAGAGTCCCTTGGACTGCAAGGAGATCCAACCAGTCCTTCCTAAAGGAGATCAGTCCTGAATATTCATTGGAAGGACTGATGCTGAACCTGGAGCTCCAATACATTGGCACCTGATGTGAAGAGTCAACCCATTGAAAAAGACCCTGATACTGGGAAAGATTGAAGGCAGGAGGAGAAGGGGACCACAGAGGATAAGATGCTTGGATGTCATCACTGACTTGATGGCCATGAGTTTGAGCAAACTCTGGGCGATAGTGAAGGACAGAGAAGCCTGGTGTGTTGCAGTTCATGGGGGTCTCAAAGAGTCATACATGACAGTGATTGAACAACAATGAAAATTACACTGCAACAAAAATATCCAAGTATTCATTTTAAAATTTGGGCAAACAATCTAAACATTGGTAAGTTAAGAGGACAATATTTCTAGTTTCTAATGTGTCATTTCTTATTCTAAGTATGACAAATGAAAGAAGGTTGCTACACCACTGAATTCTTTCAAAAGTTTTTATGAGAGAAGAGAGAATGCAAAAGCCTTTGTGAATGGAAATGTTTAGCTCATCATATAAAATATTCCGTGTTGGGTTGTTGATGACAGCAATAGCTTTGAAAAGGGAGAAGTAAAGTTTTCTTTTATTCAGCAGCTCTTCAACTTTTTGATGCCAGATTTAAACAAATTTCAAACTGCCTCATGAGAGCTTAGGTAGCATTGTAGGGAAGAACTTTCCTGAGAATTCAGGATGGTTCTTATTTTAACACGGTTGAATGTGGCTCTTCCCTTTGTTGTTCCAGTTGATTTTCTTCAGTCACTCAGATGGGGTCTCTGTCTGCTGGGCACTGTGATCTGCTCCCCAAGCCCCTTGAGAAATGAAGATTTACAGCCCCATCTTCTGAGAGGGCTGCTGGGAGCTGGGCGATCTTGCTGTCACTCACTTTGGGTCAGAGCAGTGACCTCACTCAGGCCAATTCTTCCTCCAGGGGCAGACCACATCCAGTGACTGGTTACTACTGGGGGATGAAGATCAGAACCCCTCAACACCAGCTGGGAGAAGTCTTAGCTGGCCAGTCTCAAAGCTCCCCACAGTGCAGCTGAGCCCTTCCTGTGACAGCATCTCAGCTGCCCTTCTCTGCCATCGGAACCTGCTTCCGCCCTGTCCCTGGCACATAATGGTGAGGCCCCAAGAGGCAGTCTTGGCCAACATCCTGACTGCTGATCTCCACTCAGAGCCCGCTCTCAAGAAGCCCTGCCTGCAGTGTTTCAGTCCCCGCGCTGCAGCACACACAGAATCCTTTAGTGATATCTGCTTTGTATTTTTTTTTTTCATATAGCCTTTTTCTGAACAAAGAGAGAAAAGAGTGATCTGCTCCCCAAGCCCCTTGAGAAATGAAGATTTACAGCCCCATCTTCTGAGAGGGCTGCTGGGAGCTGGGCGATCTTGCTGTCACTCACTCTGGGTCAGAGCAGTGACCTCACTCAGGCCAATTCTTCCTCCAGGGGCAGACCACATCCAGTGACTGGTCACTACTGGGGGATGAAGATCAGAACCCCTCAACACCAGCTGGGAGAAGGCTTAGCTGGCCAGTCTCAAAGCTCCCCACAGTGCAGCTGAGCCTTCCTGTGACAGCATCTCAGCTGCCCTTCTCTGCCATCGGAACCTGCTTCCGCCCTGTCCCTGGCACATAATGGTGAGGCCCCAAGAGTCGGTCTTGGCCGACATCCTGACTGCTGATCTCCACTCAGAGCTCGCTCTCAAGAAGCCCTGCCTGCAGTGTTTCAGTCCCCGCGCTGCAGCACACACAGAATCCTTTAGTGATATCTGCTTTGTATTTTTTTTTTTTTCATATAGCCTTTTTCTGAACAAAGAGAGAAAAGTGAGCAAATCATAATGGTGCAGAAGAGCGACTTTTCCCCAGGCTCACACTCCACTCCACCCAGGACCCAGAAGAGGAAACAGAATCCGCAGTTGCTGGCGTTGTCATTATTCTGGCTTCTAACACTATTTTGCCCAGCTTTCCACTTGGTATAAATAGAATCATGCAGTTTGTGTACCATGTGGGTTTTGGCTTCTTTCACTCTATGTTGTTTGTGAGATCCATCCATGTTGTTGCATGGACTTTTTCATTGCAATATAGCGTTGACTGTACAAATACGCCACATTATTTGTGTATTTATAGATATTCATCTTTCCCCCAATTTGGCTGCTCTGAATAGTACTGCTAAGAACGCAATGGTAACTGTCTTTTGATGAACACACGTATGCACTTCTTAAGATACCCTGTGTCTTAAGAGAACTGTTAGTGCATAAAGATTCTAAATATTTTTCAGATTTAGAGATGCTGCCAGTCTTCCAACATGGTCAGGACAATTCTCATTTCCATTAGGGGTGTGTGAGAGGACTACTTCCCTATGGGGAAAAGGACTCCTTCCCAACTGGTATACTGTACATCCAGCCTTTCAGGGGCCTGTATGGTATTACTGCAGTATGATTTTAATCTGTATTTCACTGAGAATCATGAAATTGGATACATTTTACTATACTAAGTGGCTTTTAAGTATTTTCTTTGGTGAAATTCATAATCAAATGTTATTTTTAAACTATCTTGTCTCTCCTTTCTGGCTGATTTTTAGGAGCTATTATTTGACTTAATTCAAGTCATTGTTGAATATTTATTTCTCAAATATCTCCTGCTGCTCTGTGGCTTATATGTTTTTTTCACTTAGTGGTAACTTTTGATAAATAGAGTTCTTAAGCTTAGTTCAACCAGATTTATATTTTTTCCATTATAGTTAATACTTTTCATATTATAATTAAGAAAACTTTGATGTCTGAAGGTCAAGAAGATTTTTTTCATGTTTGCCTCTAAAATCTTGATCATCATCATCATTATTTACCTTTCAACACTCAATGCAGGCTTATCTATCTTTTGATGTGAAGTGTGGTCAGTGTTTATTTATAGCAATATAATCTGACCTCAAGAAATAAGAAGAACTTCAAATAACTAAACTTCCTAGCAACTAGAGAAAGAAGAACAAAGAAACAAACAAAACCCAAAGTTAGTAGAAGAAATCTTAAAGATCAGAGCAGAAATAAATGAAATAGAGTCTAAAATACAATAGAAAAGATCAATGAAATCAGAAACTAATTATTTGAAAAGCTAAACAAAATTGATAAACCTTTAGCCAGACTCATCAAGATAAAAGGGAGAGTGGCAAAACTGCTGAACATTCTTGCAGCACTGTTCAATCTTCATTATTTCTATTTCAGATAGCAACCCGTTCTGAATAATTTTTGTTAATTATTGCTTAATTGCTGACCCACATATGTATAAGGCCAAGTGTAATAATATTCAAAATGACATTTTCCTAATAATATACCATACTGTGCTCAAGAAAATCCATGATGTCATTTATTACAAAAACAGGATTTTCAGATTTGCAATAATCACAAAAATTATGTAGAAACCTATCTTTCAATAGGAGACATTTACTTAAATCATGTAATGGTTTTGAATCTCAATTCGCAAGCTAATGATATCTGGAGGACTTAATTGGTATAAAAGCTAATCACTTAGATTTTGGTAGGTTAAAGCAGCCTTGCAAAGGACAGCAAGGCAAATCACTCACTCACACACACACACACACAAACACACACACACATACCCACACACCCCCGAATATAATGGAAAGGGTATATGCTTTGGATGTGTTAACTAGTTTAACCATTTCCCACTTTTATAGACTCAAATATGACTGCTTCACTCTCCATTATTTATTATTATATTCTGCATGCTTGCATGCTCACTCAGTTGTGTCTGATTCCCCATGACCCATGAACTGTAGCCTGCCAGGTTCCTCTGTCCAAGGAATTTCCCAGGCCAGAATGCTGGAGAGGGTTGCCATTTCCTTCTGCAGGGGATCTTCCTGACCCAGGGATCCAACCGACATCTCTTGTGTCTCCTGAATTGGTAGGAGAATTCTTTACCACTAGTGCCACCTGGGAAGTCCACTGTACTCTGAATTGTCACCAAGTTTTAGATAATTTAGTACTGCTGCTGATGCTGCTAAGTCGCTTCCGTCGTGTCCGACTCTGTGCAACCCCATAGACGGCAGCCCACCAGGCTCCGCCGTCCCTGGGATTCTCCAGGCAAAAACACTGGAGTGGGTTGCCATTTCCTTCTCCAATGCATGAAAGTGAAAAGTGAAAGGGAAGTTGCTCAGTCATGTCCGACTCTTCGCGACCCCATGGACTGCAGCCTACCAGGCTCCTCCGTCCATGGGATTTTCCAGGCAAGAGAACTGGAGTGGGGTGCTATTGCCTTCTCTGAATTTAGTATTAGTGCCTGCCATGTAAATATGAAGTAGCTATGTATTTTTGATAGACACCAAAGATATGAACAACCTCACCTGAAGTCTCACAACAGAGTATGTTGACACCATTTTAAGCATAAAATTACCTATAAAACTGGTTTAATTGAATTAAGGACACAGTTAACATCTCTGAGTACCTACTTCTCACCAGGACTATCCTCTCTAATGTCATCTTACAGGATAGTTGTAGTGACCTTTCCAGGTAGGTGTTATTATTTCTATTTCAGATACAAAGATTGTGAGATTCAAGAGTGTTGAGAAATTGACCAAATTCACACCTACAGAAGTGGAAGTTACTAACACCTGATTTATCTGAATTCAAAGTACATGTTCTTTCCATGACTATGCTAATCAATATTTGAACAGTGTGTTCCAGTGCCTCCATGAGATGATTCTAAGCTATAGCATTTTATGTTCTTTAAACAGTTTTCAAGGGTTGTAGACACTCTTGCTTTCTCTAAGGAAAGGACAAATATTTACTGGGTACCTATATATGGGTAATGGGTAAATACATACATCTACACTGACATACTCAAAAGCATATTTACCTGATATACTTTATACTAAAAGTAAATATAAAATGTATAGTTGTTGATGCTTCATATTTTGTCTTTAATGATTTTCTTTGCTTATTTCTACTTACTCAAGATTTATTTATTTGATTTCTGGCATTGACTTGGAAGAGAATTTAATAAAAGTAGGAACATATGTTTGATCTGAAACAACTGCAGTTTATTGCAGCACTGTTCAATCTTCATTATTTCTATTTCAGATAGCAACCCGTTCTGAATAATTTTTGTTAATTATTGCTTAATTGCTGACCCACATATGTATAAGGCCAAGTGTAATAATATTCAAAATGACATTTTCCTAATAATATACCATACTGTGCTCAAGAAAATCCATGATGTCATTTATTACAAAAACAGGATTTTCAGATTTGCAATAATCACAAAAATTATGTAGAAACCTATCTTTCAATAGGAGACATTTACTTAAATCATGTAATGGTTTTGAATCTCAATTCGCAAGCTAATGATATCTGGAGGACTTAATTGGTATAAAAGCTAATCACTTAGATTTTGGTAGGTTAAAGCAGCCTTGCAAAGGACAGCAAGGCAAATCACTCACTCACACACACACACACACAAACACACACACACATACCCACACACCCCCGAATATAATGGAAAGGGCGTATGCTTTGGATGTGTTAACTAGTTTAACCATTTCCCACTTTTATAGACTCAAATATGACTGCTTCACTCTCCATTATTTATTATTATATTCTGCATGCTTGCATGCTCACTCAGTTGTGTCTGATTCCCCATGACCCATGAACTGTAGCCTGCCAGGTTCCTCTGTCCAAGGAATTTCCCAGGCCAGAATGCTGGAGAGGGTTGCCATTTCCTTCTGCAGGGGATCTTCCTGACCCAGGGATCCAACCGACATCTCTTGTGTCTCCTGAATTGGTAGGAGAATTCTTTACCACTAGTGCCACCTGGGAAGTCCACTGTACTCTGAATTGTCACCAAGTTTTAGATAATTTAGTACTGCTGCTGATGCTGCTAAGTCGCTTCCGTCGTGTCCGACTCTGTGCAACCCCATAGACGGCAGCCCACCAGGCTCCGCCGTCCCTGGGATTCTCCAGGCAAAAACACTGGAGTGGGTTGCCATTTCCTTCTCCAATGCATGAAAGTGAAAAGTGAAAGGGAAGTTGCTCAGTCATGTCCGACTCTTCGCGACCCCATGGACTGCAGCCTACCAGGCTCCTCCGTCCATGGGATTTTCCAGGCAAGAGAACTGGAGTGGGGTGCTATTGCCTTCTCTGAATTTAGTATTAGTGCCTGCCATGTAAATATGAAGTAGCTATGTATTTTTGATAGACACCAAAGATATGAACAACCTCACCTGAAGTCTCACAACAGAGTATGTTGACACCATTTTAAGCATAAAATTACCTATAAAACTGGTTTAATTGAATTAAGGACACAGTTAACATCTCTGAGTACCTACTTCTCACCAGGACTATCCTCTCTAATGTCATCTTACAGGATAGTTGTAGTGACCTTTCCAGGTAGGTGTTATTATTTCTATTTCAGATACAAAGATTGTGAGATTCAAGAGTGTTGAGAAATTGACCAAATTCACACCTACAGAAGTGGAAGTTACTAACACCTGATTTATCTGAATTCAAAGTACATGTTCTTTCCATGACTATGCTAATCAATATTTGAACAGTGTGTTCCAGTGCCTCCATGAGATGATTCTAAGCTATAGCATTTTATGTTCTTTAAACAGTTTTCAAGGGTTGTAGACACTCTTGCTTTCTCTAAGGAAAGGACAAATATTTACTGGGTACCTATATATGGGTAATGGGTAAATACATACATCTACACTGACATACTCAAAAGCATATTTACCTGATATACTTTATACTAAAAGTAAATATAAAATGTATAGTTGTTGATGCTTCATATTTTGTCTTTAATGATTTTCTTTGCTTATTTCTACTTACTCAAGATTTATTTATTTGATTTCTGGCATTGACTTGGAAGAGAATTTAATAAAAGTAGGAACATATGTTTGATCTGAAACAACTGCAGTTTAGTGGAGAAATATATTTATAAACAAGTAATTACTATAAAAAGTGGTCCCTCATGTTTCAAATGTAATCCTTCTT